TTTTTTATTCTGGGCCAGCTTTAGCTCTGAGGCCTCGCTGCTGAAAACATAGATACAATGTTGTGGTCCGAGCCTGGCTGAATGGAAGCCCGTTTCTGGGGTTTTGTTTAGCTTCTTATTTGCAACATAGTATATAGTTGCTTAGACTTGCAGCTGAGAGGCTGGCAAGTGAGGCAGCGAACGTTGGAGTCTGCAGCAAGCAAGCCTCCCTGCTCGCTTCAGTGCCTGGCTGCCGGCCGCCATCTTGGCTGACAGTTAATTTGCATATACTCACTGATTAGCCAATGAAAAGGGTAGCGGTCGTACGCTAATTACCATGTTTCTCTTTTATTAGTGTAGATTTTTGTAGCACTATCTCATAAAACACATCTACCTGAATACCTCTAAGAGGGCAGCCTTTAATTCTTGGTATCTTGGTTCACATCATTTTCTAAAGTGCTGATATTTCCTCATTGTCATGAAGGAAAGCAAAGTCTTCTAAGTTAATACATGTAAGAACACATGTTATTCTTTAAAGATTGCCTATGTCTATTGGTGCATCCACTGGTAAAATGTGCGGCTCTAACAGCAATGATGCCATGATGGAACAGCAACGTGGCCCCGGCAGGCACCAGAGCCCTGCACGGTCCAGTCCCAGTCAGCTGTGACCCACAGCCCCTGGAGCTCCAGGGTTAGCTTCAGGATTCAACTCTTTGAAGAGTTCAGAAAAGTACTACAGTACACATACATGCCATATTTTACTTAAACCCTCCAGGAAGTCTGGGTCAGCACCCCATATTCAAATTCATTACTGTTTCTACAGCAAAATTTTGAATCTGAACACTAAGTGGGGGAAAAAAAACTACTGAAAGACTAACATCCATTCAGATCAGGTTTTGCCACTAAGCTAAATTTAAAAAAACTTTTTGTTTCAGAACTTTTTGTGATTCCAGTATTACACATGTGGAGTTATACACCTTTATGAGTAGTGGTATTACTATTTATATCACCCCTTAGAATTTTGCCATATGTACAGCTTCTTCTCCCCCTACATTGAGGAAAATATGCATTCAAACTGTTTAGAATACCAATGTTCATTCCATTAAAATCTGAGGAACAGTTTAATGATTTTAGACAATCAAGCTAAATGCTCAGGAACAATAAACATTAAAGTCAATGTTCATTTTTGCGGGGAAATATAGGGAAGCAACCAGGAAGGGACACACAAGGGCTTCAACTATGCTGGTAATGTTTTACTTTTAAGTTGGGTGATGGGTACCTAGAGATTTGGTACATTAGTTAAGACATTCCGAAGGATATAAAGAATATTTCACAATAACCCTTTTCTTAAATCAACCAAAATTACTTATTTAGTGAACATTTTAATAGATGTGAGAACTTTGGACTTAATGGGGACTTGCTGCGGCTCACACTGGCATTCCTGCATCTTCGCAGCCTCCTGGCACATCCCTTCCAAAGGTCTTCCCTCAACAGCAGCAGCAACTAAGAAACCAGGTTCCCTGGCTTCAAAAAACACTTTCAGTCCGAACGTACGATCTGCACTTAGCCTGCATGGCTTCTGTGTTCACTCACCGGTAGCTTTAGGCAGGCAAGCCCCAGACAGACTGACAACTAGCTCTCAGCCAAACAGCTGAGGTCTGTCCATTTCCTCTATTTTCTGCTGTAGTAAAAACTAACTCCATTCTTACTACCTCAAGATGATCAGGGAATGTAATTAGGGAAAGAATAGAGAGATCATAATTCAGCAGAAAAGTGTCACAGGTTTTTTAAGGAAAAAGTTCATCAACATTGTTTGCTCCTAAGTAAATCCCAATTTTGTTCCCTTAATAAATCTTGAAAGCATTTTATATTTTTTCAAGGGCAGAGGTCTTTCCAGCATCTTATAATTGTTCTCAAAGAGTTTACACAATGTAGCATCTCCTTAAACTTCCTAGAAATAAATTACATGGCATTATACCTTATAAAGAGGTGAACAAAGTTATCTCTGCTTTAGAAAGAGGAAATGAAACTTTCTTGTACTCAAGTAAGTGACCTCGCATCCCAAATTAAAACACAGATAGAAGTGGGACTACAGTACAGGTCATTTACCTTTCCTTGGTAAACTCAAATATGTCTTACTATAATAAACCACATTCCAACAGGTTTAGCATTCTCTACTCAGACAGGAATGAAATAAAACAAAGAAACTATTTATTGATGTTTCTTTCATTTTAAAAAAGTTAAGATCCTGCCCTAGCTGGTTTGGCTCAGTGGACAGAGCGTCGGCCTGCAGATTGAGGAGTCCTAAGTTCGATTCTGGTCAAGGGCATGTACCTTGGTTGCGGGCACATCCCCAGTGGGAGATGGGGGTGTGCAGGAGGCAGCTGATCGATGTTTTTCATTGATGTTTCTAACTCTCTATCCCTCTCCCTTCCTCTTTGTAAAAAATCAATAAAATATATATTTTTTTAAAAAGTTAAGATCCTAAGTGAGTGGTTCATTAGCACTTTCATCACACAGCATTCTAGGAATACATTTTCTATAAAACCATTATTACAAAGTAATCCCAAAATCTCTCCTCTCCATTTCATTCATTTCAATATTCCTAGATACCCTAAAATGAAGCCAAATTTCCTACATTATTTGAGGAAGAGAAAGTGATGCCATTCCTGTTTAGCCTAATCTATAATAATAAAAGCATAATATGCTAATTAGACCGGACAGCCTAACAACCTTCCGGATGTCATTCCAGATGTCTTTCTGGACGAAGACACAGTGGCGGGGGCTGAGGCAGAGGCGGTTAGGGGCGATCAGGCAGGCAGGCGAGCAGTTAGGGGCGATCAGGCAGGCAGGCAAGTGGTTACGGGCAATCAGACAGGCAGAGTGGTTAGGAGTGATGAGGCAGGCAGGCGAGCAGTTAGGGGTGATGAGGCAGGCAGGCGAGCAGTTAGGGGTGATGAGGCAGGCAGGCGAGCAGTTAGGGGTGATGAGGCAGGCAGGCGAGCAGTTAGGGGTGATGAGGCAGGCAGGCGAGCAGTTAGGGGTGATGAGGCAGGCAGGCGAGCAGTTAGGGGTGATGAGGCAGGCAGGCAGAGGTGGTTAGGGGTGATCAGGCAGGCAGGCAGAGTGGTTGGGGAAATCAGGCAGGCAGGTGAGTGGTTAGGGGCGATCAGGCAGGCAGGCGAGTCATTAGGGGTGATCAGGCAGGAGGCAGAGTGGTTGGGGCAATCAGGCAGACAGGCGAGTGGTTAGGGGCAATCAGGCAGGCAGGCAAGTGGTTAGGAGCCAGCGGTCCCGGATTGCGAGAGGGTGCAGGCCAGGCTGAGGGACCCTCCTCACCTCCCCCCCACCCCGTGTAATCAGGCAGACAGGCGAGTGGTTAGGGGCAATCAGGCAGGCAGGCAAGTGGTTAGGAGCCAGCGGTCCCGGATTGCGAGAGGGTGCAGGCCAGGCTGAGGGACCCTCCTCACCTCCCCCCCACCCCGTGTATGAATTTCATGCACCGGGCCTCTAGTTGACATATAATTGGGTTTTAACAAGAGATTACATTCAATCCCCATCAAGAGTAAAGAGACAAAAGTGCCTACTGTACACCAAAAACTAAACAATCTGATCCAACAAAAAAAACTCTCACCAGGAACATCCTATATAATAAACCCTAATATGCAAATTGACCGAATCGCAGAACAACCAGTGGCTATGACGCACACTGACCACCAGGAGGCAGATGCTCAATGCAGAAGCTGCCCACCTGGTGGTCAGTGCACTCTCACAAGCCGGGCTCAGCCAGAAGCCGGGCTCACGGCTGGCGAGCACAGCGGCAGTGGCGAAAGCCTCTACCGCCTCCTGCAGACGGGCGATAAGAAGCGAGGGGTCCCAGACTGCAAGAGCCCCAGACTGTGAGAGGGCACAGGCTGGGCTGAGGGATCACCCTCCCCCACCGCAGTGCACGATTTTCATGCACCAGGCCTTTAGTTTATCTGTAAAACGGAAGAGGTATCAGGCCATAAGCACGACTTTCATATAAAACACAAAGCTTTCTAAAAGTATAAGGAGATGGGGTTCCACTTTGTGTTTTAAAACCTAATGTCTAGAACTGTGAACCAAGTGCAGAACAAAGAGTTGGAGAGCATCATCTACCTGGACGCGCGGAGCATGGGCAGAGCAGCCGTGCAGTGGACAGGCAGGAGCACCTATCGTGTGTGCAGACAGGAGCTGAGCTTTGTGCTATAAACAGGTCACCTTCTATAACATTCACAAACAAACTCCCAGGATGAGCAGAACTGAGACTATAATATCTACGTGGTAAAACCTAGATGCCCAGGTCTTCTGGGAAGACAGCATACCTGTAACCGCTGAAATACTCCTGATCGCAGGCCTCCAAATCCATAGTGGCCCTGCGGGTGCAGAGCACCTTCTGACACCTCTTCATAGGGGGACTGTTCAATTTCCCAATCAAAGTCTTCATCATCATCTTCTACTCCTTCCTCAGAAACCTCAGAAGCACCTAAATATGTTAAAAATTAACTTTTTAAAATACTGAATTTCCTAGGTACAACTCAGGGAAGAAAAAAATGGAGAAAAAATGACTGCCTGTGCTGCACCAAAACACAGTAAAAGAATATTCATATACTAGATAGCCAAAAAAATTGATCTAACCCACAACCCACCCATGATAGGATGTATAAACAATCTATACTAATAAAAGGGTAATATGCTAATTAGGGCGGATGTCCATCCAGACAAAGCCACAGCAGCTGCGAAGCCCGGGGCTCAGGCAGCCATGGGCTCATGCAGCCGTGAGCCCCGGTGGCTGCGAGGCTCAGGGCTCAGGCAGCCATGGGCTCAGGCAGCCATGGGCTCAGGCAGCCGTGAGGCCCAGAGGCTGCAAGGCCCAGGGCTAAGGCAGCCATGGGCTCAGGCAGCCATGAGTCCCGGAGGCTGCGAGGCCTGGGGCTCAGGCATTCGTGAGCCCGGTGGCTGCGAGGCCCGGGGCTCTGGCCTCACAGCTGCTGAGGCCGGCAGTGGCAGCAGCAGCAGGGTGATAGGGACAGTGCTTCCCCTGATCAGCCCAGTTGCCTCCTGCAGAGGGAGGCCAGACTGCGGCTTAGGCCCGCTCCCGGACCATGAGAGGGGGCAGGCCGGGCTGAAGGACCCCCCTCCAGTGCACAAATTTTCTTGCACCGGACCTCTAGTAAATACAATACAAGCAAACAGACCTCAGCCATATATGCATAAATCTCACAAAAATGTTAAGTGACGGCAGCCAGTCAAAAATGAACACATACTGTGTGAAATTATATTTATATACAGTTCAAAAACAGGCAAAACTGAGGACAGTGGGTACCTTGGAGAGGAGGAGGGAGAAATAACTGGGAGGAGACCCAGGTAGGACTCCAGGGTACTGGAAATGTTCCATTTGTAGTCTTAGGTGGTATTAACTTCATGGAATTCACTGAACTGTACACTTCTAATTTTAGCTCAAGTGGCCAATATTTTGCCAAAGACAGAGATGCTATTTCAATTTATTAAAAAATATGACTGACCTACTGGTTCAATGGAGTTCTTTATGTCTTTAAATTATATGTTGCCAAATGAGCTATTTTCACATAACCTCCTTATTTTGTCACCTAAAGTATTTTCTCCAATCTCCTATTTGCTATATCCCTTTTCCCCTGAAAACATACAACATTCCAAATATTCTTCTTTTCTTTCTTTCTTCCTTTTTTTTTTTTGTTCCAATTGCAATAAACATACCTATTTCCTCCACAAGTGGTTTTGCAGTCCTGGATTTTCTTGGTGCCAGAAGCGTAGTTAACATGTTCAGCCCCTCAAAATGCTGACCAGGAGTTTCTTTGGGCAACTGAATGGTAAAAATTCCTTAAACATAAATTTGTTTAATGGTTAACAAGATTAAAATATTCAAAGACATCACAAATACATCTATGTAATATATGTGTTTACATATAATTCTATTTTATAGAGCTCCAAAATTATGGCCTTACATAAATTTAGTGACTAAAAATCAATGAGGAAAGTTCCAACAGGGTTTTTCAGAACCACTAATTCAGCTGTCACCACTACAAGAAATTAATTTGTTAAAGCTGCAGAATGCTTTAGTCTTATTGCAATATCACCCTAACTATTAATAATATTAAAAGTCCAAGTCAAAAAGTCCAAAACTCAATAGCCTGAGAAGGTAATAGCAGCTACTTATAAAATTTATTTCTGGACTAGGGAGGCAAAAAATCAGGATACATTATCCTATAGAGCAGTGGTTCTCAACCTTCCTAATGCCGAGACCCTTTAATACAGTTCCTCATGTTGTGGTGACCCCCAATTTCATTGTTACAAATTGAACATAATTAAAGCACAGTGATTAATCACAAAACAATATGTAATTATATATGTGTTTTCCGATGGTCTTAGGCGACCCCTGTGAAAGGGTCATTCGACCCCCAAAGGGGTCGTGACCCACAGGTTGAAAACCACTGCTATAGAGAATAGCAGCAATTTCAAAATTACACAAAAAGCAGTTAGGCTTAATAAAATCCTAGAGCTACATTCCTAAAGTCAGTCTAAGGCAGATATAAATTATACCTATGTACTTCTTTTCTTTCCTTGACTGGGTTTATCAAACTTCATCTATCTAGGCTCAGCTATGAACTCATCACATTATTTACTACTCTTATATTTTAAAACATTTTACTCTTTCAGTGTACTAAACCTCATCCAAATATATTAAATACAACTTAACCCAAAATATTTCCACATATAGCAACGTTCCTAAAGTTCTGTGTCCTTTAAAAATGTAGTACAACTTATATGCAATTAAAAGCAGATTTAAACCTAGGAAGGCAGTTTCATTATACTTCATTGTCACATTAATTACATTAAACTATTGGATAGAACTTTCTCACTTAACACTGTCATCCCATCTTTCCTCCCTCTCCATAGTTCATGAAGGCCAATAGATAAATACTCACTGGGCAAATTACATAAGAGCACACAGTGTATTCTTATTCCTATCCAGTAACAAACTACAGGGGCTTATATAAAGAGAAAAAATAGTTTCATAGCTAGCTGAAGTGAACGACTTATCATTCACAAGAAGAAAATTCTGTCAGCCTTTAAATGCCACCTATGAACAGCTTCTTTCTCATCTACATATAATTAAATTTTAAGTTTGAAATTGTATAAGAAAGATTTGATTCACAGCTAAAATCATCTATGTTGTCTATTGTCTCACACAAGCAGAGTGTTAAGTTTATGGTGAAGAATACTGTGAAATACTTTCAAAGACTAAAAAAATTGTCATTTTTAAGAAATCCATGAATAATAGCACTGGACACTGAAAAACTTTAGTGATAGGGACAGACTGCACTTGCAATACACCTAAAAGGTTCTCACAGTATCTATACTAATAAAAGAATAATATGCTAATTAGACCAGGAGAACTTCTGGGAGACCTTCCGGACGTCTTTCCAGACAAAGCCATAATGGCGGGGCTGAGTCAGAGGCGGTTAAGGGCGATCAGGCCGACGGGGGAGGGCAGTTGGGGGCCATCAGGCCGGCAGGGGGGCACAGTTGGGGGCGAGCAGGCCGGCAGGGGGGGGCAGTTGAAGGCGATCAGGCCAGCCAGGTGCTGGCAGTTAGGGGGGATCAGGCCAGAAAGGGGGGAAGCTGGGGTGATCAGGCCAGCAGTCAGAGTGGTTAGGGGTGATCAGGCAGGCAGGCAAGCGGTTAGGAGCCAGTGGTCCCGGATTGCGAGAGGGATGTCCAACTGCCGGTTTAGGCCCGATCCCCGAGGGGTCCCAGATTGGAGAGGGTGAAGGCCGGGCTGAGGGACAAACCCCCCTCCCCCCGCAAGAATTTCGTGCACCAGGCCACTAGTCTATAATAATAAAAGCATAATATGCAAATCGACCAAATGGCCAAACAGCGGAACCACCATGCAGATGACCTTCCAGATGACCTTCCCGACGAAGCCAGGGCTGCGAGGGCCTACTCTTGCACTTATTTCATGCATTAGGCCTCTAGTCTTGAAAGATTTTTACATAGTTACTTTAACATGAAGAATCCAAAAAACAAAACTAACAAAATTTCCAAAGTAAATACCTTTATCTGCATCATAGGACCCCTTTTCACTTCCATTTTCTACAATTCTCCCAGGAAGAGTTAATCTGCAAATTTAATATAACATCTCATGAAGCCCTTAAATTACAAAGTATAAATGACCAGTATACATTGAAAACTATCAACCATTTAAAAAGGAAATCCCTCAACATTTCTTTAACATTTTACAAAGTAAATAACCGACTTCTTTCCTAGCTAAGATAAAAAAAAAAATTAGAGATGACTCCTCTCTGTCTGAATACCCACTATTCATCAATAAAATAGATACTTAAAGAGGAAAGCCACAATAAATATAGTTATAACCACTGTTACAGTACTTCCACCTCCCTAATGAATGAGTTATTTATATACCTGGTGCCTCACACAGCATGGGTCCAATAAAAGTAGACTAATTGGCTACCAAAAAAGAGGGGTAAGAGGAAACAATAAAGAAACAACAAAACCAATTATTTGTATTGGGCAAATTACTACTTAAAAAAAACAACACACAAAAATGTTTTTCTCAAATCTTATAATTACTATATGGAGATTTTCTCTTCTTTCATACTAAAGGAAATGAACTGATTCCTGTTTCCAGTTTTACTCTGGTTCAGTCAGTCTTCCATTGAGGCCCTAAAATAATTTTTCTAAAGTAGAAGTCTGGACTACAGGGAATTCAAACATGATGGCCAGCAGGACAGCAGGGAAGGAGAGAGTGTGACAGAGTAAAGGAGTAAGGGGGTGTGTGTGGACATGTGTGGTATGTGTGTGGTTGAGAGAGGGACAGATAGCTATCTCAGGAATCCCGGGGACTGGCAGATCGGGCTCTCCTAGACGGGCTACCGACACACACACTCCCAGGCCAGCACAGCTTTGGCACCAAACCCACGCCATCTTGTAGAGGGGAGCAACAAAGGCCAAGAGTGCAGCCATGTCAACATCCACACCGACCTCAGATACCACCCCTGGACCTGTACAGGGAGCCACCTGCCAGACATAACCTGTGTGGAACCACCACTGCCAAGTGCCCAGGCAGTGAGCAGCCAAGATACCATACCATGGGTCCCAGACATTTGCAGTGAGTGCATAGCAGAGAGACCTCCTGAGGGGCGCCTCCTCGCCAGAGCCCAAACCCATGATTCAGGTCCCCACGCTGTAAGTGCAAGCCAGGGGTACCCCACACCCTGCTCCATCCCTGGTCCCAGTATAGAGCTGTCTCCCTGGCACACGTCCTACCCCCGGCCCAGGTCAGAGCTGCTGGTGCAAACTGGTGTGCCCAGCCACAGGTCACAGGACCACACTGCAACTGTGCTGCCAAAGAGACCTAGGGCACCATCCTGCCTTGGTGCTGGGGCCACAGAGTGAATTGCATGCCAGAGGGCTCTGGGCCCTCTCACAGAGTCCCACACCAGAGGAACTGTGTACCCGCGCCCGCCAACCTCGAGAATCTGAAGAGGACAACTGAGGTACAAGACTGTGGGAGAAGGAGATACAACTCAGAGCAGAGACAATAAAGGTGTGAAACTCAAGACAGACCCAGCCCCCAGGCTAGCTAGTCCCGCTAGGGGAAGCATGTCAAACTTGTGGCTCATGGGCCACATGCAGCCCACAATGAATATTTTTGTGGCCCAGCCAATATAACGGTATGTCAGAAACATTTTAATAAAAATTCCATATCTTAATTCTTACAATGTCCTGTTATACCTAATTATTAATAATGAACTACAACATTTACTAATGACTAATTACTATAATCATGTTGCATTCATTTCCCTTACATGCAGGCACACCATTTCTCTCCACTAATACTAGCAGTGAATATTTTAGCAACCAACCGCCATGTAATTAGTCTTGGACTGACTTGTTTGGTGTACGCAACAGGAAATATTTTGCTTTCAGAGAACAAAAAAAATAGGTTTATTTACATTACGCTTATTAATTTGTGCAGTTATTCGGTGTCTGCTAAGTTAATGTTCAAGAAAAAATATTAATTTTTATTAAAATGTTCTATTTCATGTTAACGATGACTCATTTATTTCAGCTCTTTGTATTCAGCATGTCTATCAAAATAAACCTATGTTTCTATGAAAATTGAAGCTTTTGTGTTTTTTGCGGCCCAAACAAACTTAAACCTTATTTGATCCATGTTAGCCTTTGAGTTTGATGTGCTTGTGCTAGGGATTTCAACCCCTCAGACCCTAAACAGGGAGCCCAGGACCAAAAAGAGACCGCAAAAATGGGGAGACAAAGAAAAAAACCCCAAAAGACAGGATAGTAGGAATCGTCAGAAAAGGAATTAAATGAAATGGAGGTAAACAATATGTCAGAGAAAGAATTCAGCGTAATGGTCATAAAGTTTCTAAACTGGCTGGATGAGAAAATCAACAACATATGGAAGAATCAAGTCAAAATGAAGAATGATATCTATACTAATATAAGAGTAATATGCAAATTGATCAGGATGCCCTCATGCAACGACCGAACAGCAGGCTGCGTGGGGCAACCAGGCCAGCAGGGAGGGGCGACCAGGCTGGCAGGATGGGGCAATTAGGGGTGACCAGGCCAGTGGGGGGGGCAGTTAGGGGTGATCAGGCTGGCAGGGGGGCAGTTAGAGGCGACCAGGCCAGAAGGCGGGGCAGTTACAGGCGATCAGGCTGACAGGCAGAGGCAGTTAGGGGTGATCAGGTTAGCGGGGGGGGGGGGCAGTTAGGGGCAATCAGGCAGGCAGGCGAGCGGTTAGGAGCCAGCAGTCCCGGATTGTGAGAGGGATGTCCGACTGCCAGTTTAGGCCCGATGCTGGGAATTGAGCCTAAACCGGCAGTCAGACATCCCCCAGGGGTCCCAGATTGGAGAGGGTGCAGGCTGGGCTGAGGGGACCCCCTACCTCGTGCACGAATTTTGTGCACTGGGCCTCTAGTAGCTACAATAAAGAACACAATGGAAGGTTTCAACAGTAGACTAGAAGAAGCTGTGGACCAAATCAGCGAGTTAGAAGACAGGGTAAGAAATAACACGCAATCTGAACACAAACTGGAGAAAGAAATTCTAAAGCAAGAGGACAGCTTAAGGGAGCTTTGGGACAACATGAAAAGAAGCAACATTCATATAATAGGGTTGCCAGAAGGACAAGAAGAGGAGCAAGGATTATAAAAACTATTTGAGGAAATAATGACAGAAAACTTCCCTGATTTGGGGAAGAAAAGTCACACAAGCACAAGAGTCCCAAACAAGATGAACCCAAAAAGACCCAAAACACTATGCGTCATAATTACAATGGCAAACATTAGCAACAAAGAGAGAATCTTAAGGGGTGCAAGGAAAAGACAGAAAGTTACCTACAAGGGATCTTCCATTAGATTATCAAATGATTTCATAACAGAAACACATCAGGACAGAAAGGAATGGAAGAAAGTATACAAAGTGATGCAAAGCAAGGGACTGGATCCAAGAATACTCTATCCAGCAAGGCTATCATTCAAAATTGAAGGGGAAATCAGGAGCTTCACAGACAAAAGAAGGTTAAGGAAGTTTATTACTACCAAGTCAGCAATGCAAAAAATGCTAAAGGGAAAGTTTAAAAAGAAGTAGAAAGGGAAGAAGGAACACAGGCATAAAGAATAAAAATGGCTACAAACAAGTACTTATCAATAATCTTAAACATAAATGGATTAAATGCTCCAATCAAAAGAACGTAAGGTGGCTGAATGGATAAGAAAACATGATCCAGCCCTAACCGGTTTGGCTCAATGGATAGAGCATCGGCCTGCAGACTCAAGGGTCCCAGGTTCGATTCCGGTCAGGGGCATGTACCTTGGTTGCGGGCACATCCCCAGTGGGGAGTGTGCAGGAGGCAGCTGATTGATGTTTCTCTCTCATCGATGTTTCTAACTCTCCA